ATTTGCATGAAATCTTAATGAACTCTCAAGTTGCATTCAGTGTTAGCTCTTGAGTGGATCCCAAAAGAAATCACTACTTATCCGAAAAATGGAATGCCCAATTATTTTTGGGCATTGTTTGAAGAGATATTCATAACCATACGTGAATGAAATTATGAATCTTACAGGCACTTTTGGTTTTTTTATTTTACTTTAGGTATATCCGTTTATTTTTTGAGCTTATAGTTCTCATACATGGCTGCATTTTTAGTTTCAATTATGCATTCAATCACTTGGATTTACCTTGTTCAGTAGTTTATTGTTTTCGGCACTGATTTATTTCCAACAGCAAAAAAATATATGGTTCACAGATTTATTATCAGAATCGCCACATATATAGTGCACAATGGGTCGAGTTTTTTTTTCAAGTGTTGCGTTTCAACCGTCGCGTTTTCTGGCAGAGACCGACTGTGTGCGCTCCCTTCGCCGGCTGTTGGTTGACTGACTTCACGTTTTCAACTGATTGCGATCGTGTTCGTGCAGGGGCTTTAAACGGCAGCCCTCTGCTGACGTCGCTGTCGCTGCCGCTGCTGAGGGAAGAGAGCGAGAAAGAGCGCCGGTTGAACAGCAGGATCGTTCAACCAGCGGCATTGAAAGTGGGTGGTGGGTTCACTTCCGGATCTCCGCTATCATCCCACCTGACTTGGATAGCTTATTCAAGATATATTATTAAAAATTCTACTTAGCATCGTACAGAGAAATATTTTTATTATACTTATAATGATTATAATATAATAACAAAAATAATTCATATTTCTTACTTTTCCTGTTAGAGCCAACTATAACTTCAACCTTTACCCAGTAACCTAGTAGATATCTAATATATAAATACCCATATTCGGTATATAGATACAAATACCTATACTCGCAGGCTGAAATTACCAAAAATATCACCACTGTGTACTACAAATTGGGAAACAGAAGGCACCGCGCTTTGATCTACATTAACTTTATCTTGATGTTCAGTTTTTATAACCGTTTACCGATCGATTTACGATCGGCAACAGCTGTGCGAATCTTCCGTGATCGTGAGATTTTTTAATGGCCACCGAGGATGATCAGTTGGCCAAGGATTCTTCCTTGCAATAAGAAAGAGACGGAGGTAGGGCGCGTGTGAGGGGGACGGAGCATAGTTGGCCAGCTGTTCACATCGCCGCTTGCGCCACAAAACATAATTTTCAATTACCTTTCTCGCAGCGTGTGGCTCCTTTCACCTTGGATTCCTTCAGATACCCTGCATTTTGTTGGGATCTTGGGGTATCCTAGACTTGTCATTGTGATTGTGTGCGTAACAGGAAGTTCGAAAACATATTAGATATATGTAAAAGGTTCCTCAGAGCTTCTGATTAGATATTTAAATGATTTTCTCTTTTGCCACTAAAATTCTTATAAACATAGTAGCTTAAAAGCTGATCTGAAATGGTCTAATGAAAAAATAATTGAGCTTAAGAGCTGAAACTGTTTTATACCATATATCAACATTTTCTAATATCCAAATAGAGGGCTTAGTAAAATAGAGGAACTCCCTTATAGGTATCTTATAGTTGTTACAACCCTGCAAGCCAATTTTCCCGAATTTTCCTTCCTTCTCTCACGATTTTCGCCAAGAAAAGGACAACACAAACAGGAACTTGGGCATTGTACAAATTTGGCCCATTGTTTATGGGACATCGCTGTCCTGGGGAAATTGTTGTGGAAAATTGTGCAATTGTTTTGCAATTTATTGGTTAAAGGGCTCCTGCTCCTTCGTCCTGCTCCTACCTTCCCTCACTTTCCCTCCTGCTTTCTCAGCTGATCTCAAATTTATGATATTTTCACAGCCGCCGAGTGTCCGTTTGAGGAAAATAGAATTAAATCTCACCCGTACATCTGCCCGATTCTCCAGTTTTGGCATCCTTACTATTTGCTCTTGCCAAATTTATTTGACAGTTTTGCGCAAAAACTAAACACACTTTTTGTTCATTGAGGAAGTGCAGGACCTGCTTTAGCAGTTCATATGCCACTGCAGTTCCGGACCACCAAGTGCTACAGGATGTAATTTGTGGCAACTGGTGGCTCAATCAAATACGATCAAGTGATGTGAGTTCATCGAGTCCAAACAATGCGATCGTAAATATATCAGTCCCAAGGGAACACAAGATATCTTCATATTGAAGTAAGCATCAGGAGATTAACGAACGTTTTCTTTTAATGATTCCTAATACAGCATTTTTTAGCAACTCATTGAAAAAATCATGGAAAAATCATTGATGCAGATATATATTTTAGGATTTCGCTGTAGAAACAAACCTATTTGGCATAGTTAAGATTTATTGTTCGCTAAAATTGGCTAGCCTGAAAATACCTGGACCTTGAACTAATTTAAGTTCTTTACGACTTTTTCCCACAATCGTGTATTCAAATAAATCTCAAACCTTCGTTTCGCCAAATTGACATTCGAGGGGCACTACTTTCCCAGACCAAATTGAGCTGGGCCCTAATTTTCCTTTCCATTCATAGGGAAAAAACGTGAATGTGGTGGACAACGATCAGCAGCTGAGTGACCAGCGATAAATCTCGGGAAAAAACGAAGCAAATTGAAATAAATCAATAATATTGGGCGGAGATCAAGGAAGATGGCCAGCAGCAGCTGCCTGCCTTGAGATCTGCGATCTTTCCAATAATAATCCGTGCCAGTCCTTCCTGAATCAAAGGCAATTTAACGCATTGGTCACTGGCCAAAAGGCCCAAGGATAATGCCGAAGGGATCGGTAAGAGACAGATAGAGAAACAGAAAGAGAGGTTGACAAAGGAGATAAATTAGGGCAGGAGGAGCCCCTTTTCGCTTCATTCTTATCCTCCAGTTCCTCCTCCAGCCCAGCCGCTAATAAATTGCCCAACAATTGTGCAATTTTTCATAGATGGAGAACTGCAGTGCCACCTTGACGCAAGAACTTCACGCTCGGATTTGCTACCGTTTTCAATTCGCATTTGTCGTTTTCCAATAGCTCTTCCCAATCCAAGGTGTTTTCTTACACACGTCGAGAAAATCTAGCACTGTTCAAAGGTTCTGGATATGAAAATGTTGCATATAGAAGTTATGGTATTTAAAGTATTCCAAAAAGAAGCCAAATATGGTGATATGCCACTCTTGACCAAAGAAGCACTGCTCAATCTGAAATTTGTTGGAAATTGGAAAACCATAAACCAAAAATATTAAATATTCGTTGACTAAAACAATCAGATAAATGCTCACAGCATACTGAAGTTTCCACGTAATCCAACATATAACTTTATGAAAACGTGGTCATAAATCTGAAATAATGTATATCCTTTTTCTCTCTGTACAGGATCCCATTGCGGTGGCCATCGCAAGAAAACGTGCGGCGGCAAGGACATCTAGATAAAGTGGAAAGTGGTGGTGGTAGGGAAAAGGTAATCTCGAATCACAAGCCGCACACTGATAGCGCCAGGACGCAGCAGAGCCTTGAGGAAATCCAAGGACCCACAATCCTCGGGCTGGACAGCTGTTCGTTCGGGGATTAGCACGGCTAGCCGAGCTCCTGCTCCCTCACCTTCTGCTTTCTCCCATTACTTTCGCCGGCGGGGCGCGCAAAATTATTAAAACCTGGCCCTGAATTATGGGCCATAATTTAGAATTTGTATTTGCTTAGAGCTTCCCTCTGGCTCCTTCCTCCTTCCTCCTTCTTGCTTCGTCCTGCCACTTCCACTGCTTTCCCTCGTCTTCCACTTATCCCCGCTCGATAAGGCTGGCGGGCAAAGGCAGCGGAGGGGGGGTGTGTGTTCGCAGGACCCAGATCCTTTGATTGATTTGGGATCGCCGTGAAAAGCTGGCTTCCATTGACAGGCAGGCACTTCAAGGACCAGAGGCCCTTGGATCGGGTTATTTGCCCAGGATCAGGCGAAATCCTAGGAAAAAGGATCTGCAGATCAATAGGTGATGCGGAACACGGCGAATAATTGGATCTGGCTGAGGAATAATTGTATCGTGTATTGTTTAGGCTGGCTCTATTGTAAGTGCCTTGAATTTGGCATCTTACAACTTTCGAAATCAAAGTTGAAATCATTAAGGCTATATAATTCCTTACAAGGAAACTGCTTTTGAAGGCCTCCTAAAAATATGCGCATTTCTAGACTTTGAAAACGAAAGTCAAATATTTCAAATAAAATGCTCTAATTTAATCCAACGGTCATAATTCTAAAAGTCACTGCTGACATCTCCAGACACTTTTCGAATTCAAATCTCAATCAATTTCAGAATATGTATATCAATCGCACAATTGATGGCCCAATGGAAGGTCCCTTGTGGCCCATTAATATAATATATGCCAATCGTTAGCCGGGGCATTTGTCAAACATTATGCGATGGAAATCCGAACTTGACAAATGCCAAGTGAAACGCCATGCGAGATGAGATGGAATGCAGGGCATTCGATTTCAATATCAACCCGATCGCTCCGGGGGGCGGGACGAGTTGAAATCGCCAGGGTAGTGGTGGTGCTACTACGTTTTCAAGTTCAGTCCAAGGGAATGTCCATTCCGAGTCCCGAAATTCCTCAGCAGTCAACAGGGGAGAGAAATCGGGAGAGCCGTGAGAGAACTCACAGCAATCTCACCTCGGGTATTGAAAGGTGCTGTCGAAAAGGTGGTTGATCAATCAGTACACAGTCCGAAAAGACTGTGTTTCAATATCTGAAAATTATTTAAAATACCCAATGGATAGCACTTGCCGTAATATTGTATGATATACAGTCTCATCTGTAATTTACAAGATTCCTAAGTGTGATATGTGTGCATAAAACTATTTCGAGTTACTTATCAAAATGTCTCCCTACCAAATTGTGCAAATCCGTGCATAGTTCCAAACAGTTCTACAACTAGTCGCATAACACATACTTTCTTTCAGTGTGCTGTGGAGGGTGACTGCGAGGTGAGCACGCAACGTTGCGTGCGAGGGGAGAATCAGTCACTTTTCGTCTGTTGCAGCGACCAGACGTGTATTTCTCTGCGATCGCGAGCAGGAAATAAATTTCAAAATTTACAATTTTGATTTCCCAACGCCGTCTCGTTACGCCTACCTTTTTTTTACCGTGCAAAAAAATACTACAAAATTGTATATTATTTTTGATTGTGAAACGAAGCAAGTTCCTTACTTTGGATACCCCGGAAAGAAACGAAGAACGCGAAAAATTAAAAAATATATATATCTAAATAAAAAGGTAAAGATAAGTGAAGTGCATGGAATGGAAAACGAATATGTGCATTAAAAATGCATTAAAGCAGAAGTGTCTGGGAGCGGGGTTTAATTAAAAACACCCTAGTAAAATCGCCTGAAAACGTATAAATTGTGCGCGTGCGATTTTGGGTTTTATGTGCTGGGTTTTAGCTCCTCGTCTGAGTTTCAGTTTGGGCTATGTTCTATCGGCTGTGGGTTAATGGGTTTTCGAACTCGGGGCACTCGGCCAAGTGCTCGAGTGCTCTTCAGACCAAAACGAGAGCGGCGGCTGCAAAATGCGCAAAATTGCTAGCACGCATCCGATCCGAGAACTGAGTGGAAAGGCGAAACCCTTCACTCCTTCGGATCCCCCTCATCACCATCACTCCTCGAGTGGCCGGAGATCGACACCACTGGAGGATGGGGCAGAGGAATTGGAGTAGGGCGACGAAGCACCAGAGTGTGCCGGCACCACCATTTTGCCCAAGTCCACACGGCAAAAAATATATGTATTCGTCTTCCAGACTTAGTTTTCTATCACTTCGATGATATCTGCAGTCTTCAAATCTTTCATCTCCAAATTTATCCCATGCGAAATAATTATAATCTATGTATATCTATTTATCAGTATCTTTCTTAGGGTACTAATTTGAGTATGATATTAAAAGCCAGGGCTTGCTTAAATATTTTATGTTCTATAGTATAATATGAGGTAAACATTTTCCATTTCTATTAATATTTGAATTGTGGCCCAACAATTTCGCGTGCTATTTTTCGTATTTTAATTTGTTATTTTAGCTACAACATTTTCTGTTTTTTTTTCTTAAAAACATTGATGGTTTGCTAACAGCACAGCCGAGGTGGCGAAAAAAACCAAAAATCGGAACTTAGTTGGACAATACTTTGTCAGTTCATAAATATTTAGTCTTTTGCCTATAAGAAAGCCCTCTAGATGGCATTTAAACCCCCAAGTTCCGACCTAATTTGGGTGATATTTTCTCCCTGTGCCGGCGCACCACCCGAGCACACGAATCTGATTCCTGATTCGCGATTCGAGGCAGGACCTTGGGCTAAATCGCAGCTGGAGGGCAGTGCGATGGGAAGGCGAGCAGGAGCGAAGCGGAGGCCCAGAAATTCGCGGAGCTTTAGCGCGCTTTTCCTTTGTTCCCGGGCTCATTGTGCCTGCCCAATTGTTCGCAAGGACATGCGGAACCAGAAACTCCTTGCGGAAATCGGGAGGCTGTAGTTCAGCTGTGCAAATCCTTGGCGAAATCCCAAGGAGATCGCTGCGAAACTCGTTCCGCTACAAGTTAGTCGGGTTTCTGCTCGGCCTCTTTCGCATTTCACATACCCATTCCCCTCCAGAAGCTTTGCAAATAGACAATCGCTAACAAGCCCTATCCTTTTGCCACTTTTCCAGATATCTTGGCACCGCAGGAGCGACAGACAGCAGCTGCCAGGATGCTCAAGTGGGCAGTCAACCAGCCGCGAAACTCGTATCTGGCCAACGAGCTGGCCATGGGATCGCAAACTGGATCGGGATCAGGATCGCTGGTGACGAAGGCCGATGCGGTCGGTTCCAGCTACAGCGAGTTCCACGCCCTGCGTGGCAAGCTGAAGAGGAAGTCGATCGGAGTGGCAGCGGGGAAGGAGAACCAGCTTACCTCCACGCCACTGCCGGCCAGTTCCTTGAGCCTCCATTCCCGCACACCTCTGCTCAAGGACCTCAGCAACATCCTGGCCACGCCGCCTTCGGGAGTAGCAAGTGGAGCAACTGGAGGAGCAGCAGCTGCTCCCCTGAAGTTCGCCTGCACCCTGCCCACCTTCGAGGCGGAGTACTCGCCCAATGCCGCCGTCATCCCTGGCTCCCTGATCGCCCTGCGCGGCGTGGGCATCCCGGACAGCTACTTCGAGAAGCCGCGCTACCTGGAGCAGAAGCCACTGCCACATCCGCATCCAGCTCCTCCGGAACAAAACAGCGAACAGAATACGCTCAGTTCCAGCCAGATGGGCGATGTGACCCTGGAGCGCATGATCGATGCCATCCTGGAGAGCAACCGCAAGGTGCTGCCCAACGCCACACAGCAACAGCACCAGCACAAGCATCAGCACCGCCAGCCCAGGCAGCATCTCCGCCAGCGGCACAGGCTCAGACAGCAGGTGCTCCGGAGCAGCCACACCCAGACGCCTTCGCCCACCTACCGCCCCGCCTTCGATCCGGCCAGCGATCTGTGCGAGTACTGGAAGTCGCCCTCGCGGAGGGATTCCCTGCCAGCGGATGGCTTCGAGGAGCGGGAGGTGCGCTCCCCCGTGCCCAGCGAATCGCAGGATCCCAAGCGGCACTCCCTGCAGCTGCGCAGGCAGCGGGTGGTGCGGCGCAAGCGGAAGATCACCACCAAGATCTCCTCCAGCGTCAGGCAGTCGGCGCAGAAGCTCCTCGCTGCGGCCAGGTCCGGAGCCACAGTGCCCAGCCAGCGGTGCGCCCAGAAGAGGCGCCACATCAGCCCGGACAGTGGGCACAACTCCACCAGCGACTTCGAGGAGGAGCTGGTGGCCATGGGTTCCTGCGGCGGGCGGGTGGAGGCGGTCACCAAGCGGCGGCTGAGCTTCTCCTACGCCGAGGATCTGTTCGTGGAGAAGTGACCCCATTGGGGCTATGTCCATATGTTGATTTTTGACTTCTGTTTGGTTATAACATAAACGTTTTTTTTTGAGTGGCTAAAAGCGCAGCATTGCCTTGGAATACGTACATATGCTGAAACAGATCCTATAACTAACTAAGAATCCTTTTTTTTCTGACAAATAAAAGACCGATTAGAAACACTAATCGAATTCCGTATTTATTATTCCAATATGCCAATCTAAGAGGCTTTCTCAAGCAAGAAGCAAATTCTCAGAATATATATTTGGTAGCTTCTGTTACAGCTGGCGATGATAAGTGGCCCACTTGGGCAGACTTAGAATATCCTGTTGCCTTCTTCTTCTGGAGTAATGTAAAATTGAAGAAACCCTGCGATGGATTCCAGGAGGCAGTGAATCACTTTAGTCTTCCACGCGAAACCAATTTGATATGAACTCCTCCTTTTCCTGGGATCTTTGTGAGTTTAGCCCATGGGAAGACCCACCGTAGCCGGAGAAAACTCTTTTATTAAAAGCGTTTTCTTCTGCAGTATATACAGGGAGTCGGCGGTTTTTATTTTTAATTTATTATCGAGAACTTGAGTGATATGAACATTTAATTCTTTGAAGAATGTGAAGATCCTTGCGCCGCATAAACGAAATGGTGTCCTTGTTAGCGTTAGATAAGTACAACCATTAATTAGGGATAAACTGTCTGCTTCGTGGGGATTACTTGGCAATATGTCAGCTATTCCAGAGGTAAAGGTAAACTGGATTCTCACGTTCCGCCCATGAATTCATCACCGCCGACTTTTCAGTTGCAACGGGCGAGCTGGCAGGATATGCAGCATGATATGCAGTGAGCTGGGGGTGCGGGAGTAACAGTTGTGGTGGTAAAAATGTTGCGGCATATCCTGCGAGTCCTTTACACGGCACTTATCACGCACCTGTGCACCACCAAATGGCGAACCAGCAACTACAAACGACAAACGACAGGCTACAAAACGGTGGCATTTGCATAAATTTGCATAGAATCGACCAAATTGTACGGTCCACGGTTTGTTTCGAGTGTTTTGAGCCAGGATTCGAGGTCCTTGTTAACTGTACTCTGGATCTACGAGGGCGAGCCACCGATCCATAACTACACGGAAAAAAAGTACTTACAAATATGACGCATCCTGCGGTACATAATTCCAAAGAAATACCTGTCTATGAAGGCGCAGCTGGGATTTGTACCATTTGCTTGTAGTTAAAGCTTTTCCCAAGATAATTTCGTACTAAATGTTCAGTAGTGCACGCATTTCTCTCTCAGTGCATCTGGGAACTGTGACTGTGCGAATTACCGACCCATAACTAAGTTATGCCAGTTATGTGCCAGCCGATATTGAGGGGGCGGCGATATATATATACTTATATATACGCTTTTATCCTTTACCGCCAGCTGGCAAGGATGTGGAATACAAAACTGGAACAAGTTCGACAAAGAACTGAGATAAATTACGAATTGCAATGGAATCAATGAGGCTCAGCACTATAATTACAGATTCTCCAGTGATTTAAACTAGGGAAAAATCTAAATTATGAAATTCTTCAAGGGAAAATTCAGAAAATCGTATAAGCCATATATCTTAAAGATTTTATAGGTACATACACGCTTTTACTATTATTGAACTGATCTCTTTAGGTTCTTAAGCTGGCTTCGATTTATTAAGAGTCGTTAGTTGTCTATTAAACGCCTTTAGGTAAATTCCTTCGGACATTGGCTATTGTTCCGTCTTGTTTCTGTCCTTGATTTTGATCCTCGTTCCTCGCTCCTGTCGCACATCGAATGCAATGCATTGATCCATTGTTGGACCACTGCCTCCGTTTCCCATTTTCTCCGCTCAATTGAGTTCAACCAGCTGCCCGAGAAACTGAATCCCTCACCGAACTCCAGTTCAAGATGCATTGAGGGTGGACTCGGAGTTGGGGGAGTACCTACTCTGATTCGCTGCTTGCCAAATGTCGCATAAGAACGGGATCGAGATCGGGAGCAGGAGCAGGATCTAGAGAAGGAGCAGGCGCAAAAACACCTTTTCGAAAAGTGCGCCAAAAGGGAATATGCGAGAATGCCGAGCACGAGTCAATGGCAAACAAGAAACGAAAGGAGGAGGAGGAATGGGCAACGAGGACAGCAACAAGGACGAGAACAAGGAGCAGGCCCAAGAAAAGGACACAAAATCGCATCGTGGCATGCGTCGGCGGATGAGGATCGGAGCGGGGGCAGTGGCAGGGGGAGGGGAATCCTCGGGGACAGCTGTCGTCGCAAACACCAAGGCAAGCATACACTGAAATAAATGGCTCTACAGGGTCACAACTAAATCAAATAGCAAATGCATTGCATAACCCATATACATCTTTTAAGGTTTTTGACTTGCGGTGCGGAGTTCCTAATTTTAATCAGTCTTTCCTAACTGCATTAAGACTAAATTATTAAAAAACTAAGTCGTCATTTAAAAGAAAATACTCAGAAATATGTATTTAGTAGCTTCTGTTACAGCTGGTCTATAAGGAGGCGATGATTCCAACTTCGTTCTTATTTCTTACTATTTTTCTTATTATTTTCTTACTATATTTGGTATTACTCCAAAATTTTATTTTTTCGAACATGGAGATAACCGAGTCGTAGCATTCAAAGCCTGAACCTGAACCTGTGAAGCCAGAAGCCGAGGAACCACATGAACGGTTGGGAGTCGGACCCTCGCTGATGAAGCCTGTCGACTGTTGACTACAACGCATCGCGCACTTGGGCAGATTTAGAATCCTGGGATCTTTGCAAGTTATGTGCGTTTAGGCCATGGGAAGACCCACCGTAACCGGAGAAAACTCTTTAATTAAAAGCGTTTTCTTCTGCAGTATATACAATTGTTGATTTTTCTCTCAGTGCAGTCGGCCTTTAGCGGGGGCTGGGGGACGAGTCGCGGTCTTGGGATCTAAGGAGCGCTGGATGAATGGAAGAAGGAAATTGAGTTGAAGGAGTTGCTCAAGTGCTGCCACATGTTGCCGTTGTAAATTGGACAACAATTGACGGCCTAATAGGGTTAAGTGCCGGAAATTACGCGTACCGAAAAGCGACTGAGGCTGTAAATTCGCGCGATCTATTGGCACACTTATAAGGTTCCAGGTCCTAAGTATGAAGAAGATGGATTAAGTTAGGTTTTTATAATAATTCCGAGCTTAAGCATCGTATATTACTCGTATTTCTGATATGGTATACCTCGTTTTAGGTTCTACAAAGTCACAAGATAATATCATAAATTTTGGCACTAAATATTAAAGCTATTTATGACACTTTTAAACATTTACATCGTATACTATATGTGTTTTTACATAACTCTAATTTTAGGTAAGAACAAAAAGAAAAAGAATTAATAATGGGTTTCTTGCATTCCCTATATATATATTATTAACGCCGCATTCAAGATTGTACTATTTGAACTATGCCATAATTCGAGTTGCAAAGAAACTCAGTACAAAAGAGTAGTTCAATCCGGTCCCTTTGTGCTATAATTGCATTATTCTTGTTAATGGATTAAAAATAGCGCTAATGGAGTGAAATCGCAGCATCTCCAGCTCCGAGTATCTCCAAGGAGTGTCCTGAACTGATAACGATCGTTAGCGAAGCTGCGAGATGACAGGACTCAAGATGCCCAGCGAACTCAATCAGTGTCAGGGGAAAAGGTGAGCTGCATGGGATATGCGAGCTGGGATGTCCTACATCCAGGACATTGGGGTGGGGGAATCGAGCAGAATGAATCGCAACTGTCAATAAATGGAGCAGAGTGGCGGGGAAGAGTCCGGCGAGGGACACGGCGGCTCTAATCCCATATGACATAAGCACTAGGCTTCGCCTGTGGAAGTGGCCCAAAAAACCAGACCAGATCAGGGGAGGATCGGCGCGGAAATTGCCAACTATTTGTATTTGTCAAAGGCTCTGATTTCACGGCAGCACGAAAATCCAGATTTCCAGATTCTCGACGATTAATCAATGTGACGTGAGTGCCTCTCCGTCTCCGTCTCTGTCTCGCTCTGCTTCTCTCTCGCTCTTCTTAGGGATAACATCTTGAGTTGGTTTGCGCGCCAAGCGAATGTCCTGGCTGTGGTTTTAGGCAGTCCTCCTGCGTTCAGTTATTTAAGTCATCATCTTGGGGATCCAATCGCAGATAGTAGCACTTTCTTCCGAGGGATGAGGTGAGGAGAGGTCAGGATCAGGACCAGGATCAGGAGTCGGGGCACACCGCAGGATCAAAGAATCCAATCGATTTGCATAGCGAACGGCAGGCAAAGGGTTGCCGTCCTCGATCTGCAGATCTTCAGATCTCCAGATTGCGATACCGAATGCCTATGTAAATGTTGTTTGCCCGACAAACTTTAGCTCTCGGCACAATGCCAAATGCAAACTAATAGATACATTTTGATCGCCGTCCATCCGGGGGTAATTAGGCATATTTACGGTCAGCCGAAAGGATCACCGAGGTTGAGGATGCTGTGAAAGGACGAAAAGTGAAGGGATCGAAAGGAGTGGAGGGGGCTGGACTTTCGGGTAAGCACTTAAGCCAATTTGATGTGAAGTGAACTTTTGCGGCTTTGTTTACCTTGTGATTAAGAACTACGAGTTTTAAATGCTTTATAATCGTTGATGGGCGCCGAAATGTATTCATTTATTTTCAAAACTGGTAAGCAGACCATTGAAATGCCTTGCGATTTCCTTTTGATGAACTCATGAAAAAATTTCAGTCTATCTGTAAGATAAGGCACAAGTTTTCATTGAAAACATACAGGAATTTCCAAATGTCATGCAATTTTCTATGATTGTTAGCTCTGTTACATACAACTAAGGAATAGACTCGGAAAAGGTGCGTTAAAATGCTAACTAAATTAGGTATACTATGTATTAATGCAGATGATTCAACTGTTTATAATGCATTTACATTTCTTTAGTATTCAAGGGGATTGTGTTAATCGGCATTACGCGGGTGTAATCATTCAGAAATTCATTTGAAAACTGACGTGCACATAAAAGCCTTTCAATTACCACGATGAGATGACAAGTGCGAGATCTAGCACCTCGCGTTGATTATCCTTGGGCAACTTACAAGTTGCTCAAACGCAACCTTTCCATTTCGTATATACGCCAAACACGGAGTTCTAAAATAATGGAATATAATTGTTCAAAAATCAGTATTGTGGCAATGTTGTTGTGACAATATAAGGAACTTCAAATCAAATCTTTGCTGCCTCCCATACGATCATGTCGGTAGCTTTTTCTCCGCGATCATCAGCTGGCGCAGCACACGCCGTGTCCACATGCGAAAACGCTTCTTGGAGCGATCGCTCAGGGATCGGAGCATGGGCACCATGCTGACCAGGAAGTTGTGGTTCGATTCGTTGGATTCGCCATACATGGGTGGGGGTGGGGCTGGATAAATGGGCAGGGGAGCCCTACCTAGTGTCAGTATTAGGTCCAGGTTGGTGTTCCACAACCATTTATCTGTGCCCATCAGCCTGGCCGCCTCCTCGTCCATATCCAGTCCCACTGCCGGCTTCTCTTCGACCAGGAAGAGCCTCTCCTCCGCCTCAAATTCGATGCCACCCTTGGTGAACGACGGTTGATAGAGCGCCGCCTGGAGATTGTAATGCGGACGTGGGTTTCGCTGGTGTTTCTTCACCTGGCCACGCTTCTGCCTCTGGCCAGGAGCCCTGGGCTTGCGTGGCAAGAAGACGTCGCGCATGAACTCCATCTCCACGGTAGGACGCCAGCGCCAGGCATCGCCTTGTTGCACCTCGAAGCGATAGTTGCTCCGCAGAATCTGCCAACGCCGCTTGCACTCTTCCATGCTCAATCCTAGCGCCTTGGACACCTCCTTCCAGTTGGAGACGATTTTCGGCCGGCGGTGGGCGTAGTTGATGCGGGTGTCCCAGATCGCTGGACGAAGTGCGATCTCGCGAAGGAGATGGCTTTTTTCCACATCCGTGGGCAGCGGTTTGGCTACATTAGCAGAACATTTAGTGAACGACGGGTTATAGAGCGCCGCCTCGAGATTGTACTGCGGACGTGGGTTTCGCTGGGGTTTCTTCCCTTGGCCACGCTTCTGCCTCTGGCCAGGAGCCCTGGGCTTGCGTGGCAAGAAGACATCGCGCATGAACTCCATCTCCACGGTAGGACGCCAGCGCCAGGCATCGCCTTGTTGCACCTCGAAGCGATAGTTGCTCCGCAGAATCTGCCAACGCCGCTTGCACTCTTCCATGCTCAATCCTAGCGCCTTGGACACCTCCTTCCAGTTGGAGACGATTTTCGGCCGGCGGTGGGCGTAGTTGATGCGGGTGTCCCAGATCGATGGACGAAGTGCGATCTCGCGAAGGAGATGGCTCTTTTCCACATCCGTGGGCAGCGGTTTGGCTACATTTGCAGAAGTCATCGCACATGGACTTACGTACGGGAAGACTTTAGAAACAAAAAGAATCTCAACTAGTTCGATAACATCTGGGTTGCCGTTTTTACAGTTTTGGGGCCATTGAACTTTTGGTGATTGGCATTTCTTCAGATTATCGATAGCTCTTAGTGCAAAGCTGCCTTTGACAATCGATTTGAAAATCAGTGCTACCAATGACTCCATGAAGCAAGTCTGCATTCGGAAAATATGAAACTATAATTGGTAAGTTAACATGTATTATTTAAGAAGTTAACAACCCAGAAACCGGTACTATTAAATGCCTAATGTGTGCTAAGCATTTGTAAAACAAATTGTGCATTTTATAAAGACCAAACAAGGAAACCCCCATTAAAGAAATATTGCCCTTAAATGCTTTCTAATCAGTATATCCCCTAATTTCATAAAGAGTCCTTACTCCTTGAAAAACCCGAAAGATGTCCATTGTCTGGGGCTGCACACAATGTTTGTCCACAAAAGGTGGATCGTAAAAATGCGTAAAAAGTTTCGAATTATATGTGTGTGCTTAATGAATTGTTTGTACCCGAAATCCGTGTCGTAAAACACCAGAAATTTGTTGGGCCGGGCGGCAGCGAATAAAAGTGCAGTAAAAGTGCACTAAAAGTCGCCGTTCAATTGTTTTGCCTGCGACTTCAGGGATTTATCATTCAGCATTTACGAGCGGGCTGAACATTTTATTGATCGCGCACTTCATTCGTCGCCGTAGAGACTTTATCAAATTGCCATTAGCATCGGAATCGGAATAGGAATGGCAATTCGAGTCCTTCGGGGCGTGTGTCAGCGGAAGAGAAAAGAGAAAAGAACTATTGTGATTAGCCCGCGATCGGCGACAGGATCGCATCCTGGCGGAGTCATAAAACTGCACCTTGGCATCGCGGCAGCTGATGATGCGGGCCTCTTTCCCCCGCCTCCCATCTCTCTGTGTAATTTCCCATGTCATTGTCATTGTGCAGTCACTGGGACATGTGCGAAATCCCAATCCCCATCCCATCGCCAATGCCGTTCCGATCCCCGTTTCGCTTCCGAATTATGTGGCAATATTGGAAATTAGCGTATACGGCGACGGAATTAGCCGCTGAATTATGCTGGTTGGCGGATCTGGGATGCAAATAGAATGTCCTGCCATAATTTAACCTGCCTGGCTGCGAATAATGTGGGTACACTGCCCGAAACATATACAAACATTTGCGCATGTTCTTCTTACAGAAGAAATCGTAGTAACTAATTAACTTATTAGTTCGGTTTTCCAAAGATTCATGCAGTGCTCTACAAACATATGCCTCTTGTTACTAAGTCTCAAATATTATGTCTACCGCCTGGCTTGAATTATACAATGCTCAGCTAGAAAGGGGCTATATAGAACGATATAGAAGGATGTTAAAAGTTGGACAGGCTATATAAAGCGCCATGCAGAAGCGTATTTTCGAGCAGTGTAAACGCTCTCTTGCGAGTGTATTTCTTTGGCTCTGTTATCCTGTGAGCTCTTGTCCTGTGGCACCTGTCTTCATTAGTTGGCCCTCATTTCCCCGACTCAGTAGTTCACTCGATAAGCAATCAATAGAGCGCGAGGGAGACGGGTGGCTCGTGCCAGAAAGAGATGCACGGCGAGGGACCTACAGGTGCAAGTGCTTGCTCCAATTTGTAGGGCGGTCTGCTAGCTCGACGACTCCATTCGGCTTTTGCATATTGATGAGTCCCAATTTATGGCTCCCAAACTCACCTGCCGTTCGATGAGCGAAGAGAACCAAGTGGCGAGTGGAAAGTGGAAAGATGAAAGGCTTAGATGGCCACATGCCGGGCAGATCAAATCGGAAATGGAACAGTGGTAAGTGGAAAACGGGCCAAGGAAATGCTTTCTCGATAATGAGCAGGTAGTCTCAGGCGATTTCCATTAGGTGGCGTACTTAATGGACCACATAGGTGGCAAGTTTTAGTACGAAATAAGCAGACTTGAATAAGTATTACCCAACAATTGTATATATTTGTATACCCATTAGCCATCCAGCAATAATTTTTATTTTGAATGCAATCGTAGAATTGCGTAAAGTGTACTAACTTAGGCATTGTCATGAAAACCACACCTAGTCGAATCAGTTGCCATTTTGGACTCGTAACGAGGTTACATTATCTCCCCATTTGTTATCCCGGAAAGATATCCACCCTCTTGCTCCGAATTCTCCAGCTCTAGTTTCTCAGCTCTCCAGTCCAAATCCCGTTTCTCAGTTCTCAGTTCTCGTTCCTTAGTTCTCATTTCTCAATTCTCGTTTCTCAGTTCTCATTTCTAATTTCGCAGTTCTGGTTCCAAGTCCTCCGCATACCTGACTCGGCTTTTAATCCTGGCGCAGGATTCCTTCACTGTCCTGTGTCGAATGCGAACCAGTTTTCCGCTTCGCTGCAACTGACGCATAAATTGCGCCACTTTCCCGACCCATTTGCCGACTAAACAGGACGAAACAGGACTGTCTATACACCTAAAAAAACTATTTATTTGTAACTTATGGAATACGAAAGGTTTCAGTATGCTGTACTCCATTATTCCAGTATTTCCAAAATAAGTGTTCAATTCAGTTAAACAAGTAAAGGGAATATCCATCCATTGTTTCTGGGAATTTGTATTTAAATAATTTGCATTTAAATTCTTGAAATACTTTTTGCAGAAGTCAAACTTGTATTTAGATGAACACACAAGCATCCTTTTCTCGCTCTGTATGCATTCCAGTTGGTTTTCCAGCTTTCTTATTCAAATTGTTTGAACTGGCAATGCGGCACGGTGATTTTTCATTTCCTCGCTCGAGGAATAGGGTTCCTTTTTTGGGTTACAGCTCGTGGAGTAAAAGACCGACTCCATCGATCAATTGTACGGCATTTTATGGACGCATAGCACCTGTTTTCCCCGCTGCCCGCGATTTTTCCACTGCAGCAGCAGGAGCAGCAGGTGCCAATCGAATTTTCCCCCCACCGACGATGACATTTACATATTGCTATCCTGTCCGTGGCTCCAGGTTCCCAATTCCTGTGCCCATTCCCAACTGTTCCCGATCTCCGCATGACAATGCTAAGTGGAGGTCCTCCGTCTCCTCATTTTCCTACTCCTCCGCCTCCTCCTGTCGTTATGGACCCTTATCAAACGAGTCGATTTTATGAGTTCCTTCCAATTCTTCACGCTGCATTTTCCGCTGCTGCTGCTGTTCTGATGTTCTGCTGACCAGCGGGAAAACTCAGGCAAGGGTTGTCAATGTCCGAGTTTTCGCCCCTTCATTTCCACTTCCACTTCCACTTCCTCAAGACATTTGTTGTTGGCACGCGCTTTTGGTCAGTTGGTCAGCGATTGTTTTTCCACCCTTTGACAGCGGTGTTGTGACAACGGAAAATGGACAATGGAAAATGGGAAAAGCCAACTGAATGGAAATGGATAGATGCAATATGAGTCATTGGACAATTAAGGCCAAACCGCGATATGACAGCCCGCGAGCGGCCAAAAGCGTTTCAAAACTTGTTGAATCCCTTTTTGGATTTGAGAAAGATGTGCCGGAAAAGCATTGTATTTCTGCACTGTAATTAAATATTATGCACTATTTTTCTAGTAGACTTACTACACTTTACTTGTAGAGTAAAAGCGTATACTAGATTCGTTGAAAAGTATGTAACTGCTAGACGGAAGCGTTTCCGATTTTTGAGCAATGTGCTTGTAACGGGTATCTGTTAGTCGTGAAACCTCTCTTGTTTTTGACTTTTAAACAGCTGCCAAAGACAGCGGTCCACAGATACTTCCCTCCAAAACTTCGAATACCCATTTCCGCTGTACGGGCAATTAGTTAATTAGGCGCAACTTCAAGTGTCCCACTTGGAAATATATCACACGAGAATCGCTTCTTGTTGACATTTCTGCAGCATCATCCAGATAATTTGCATATTTAATTGACGAATCCCGTGTGCCCAGAAAGGAAAACAAGGCATTTTTTCTCAATTCGTTTTTTAATAAAAACTACGAAAATGTCAAGTAAGTTTTTTGAAGGCAAAGAAGGTAAAAATTGGGCACCAGGAGATGGAGAATCACTTTTAGATGGTGACGAACGAGTGGAAACCCCGCGGCGGCCATCAAGCAAAAGGGTTAAATGCAAATGAACACGCATCCTTCGAGATTCCCGATTCGGCGCAAGAGTGAGTGGAAAAAGCTGGGCGATCCTGGAACAGGACACACGGACCACGGACCACGGGCTAAGGACTCGATCCAACCCCCGAATCCCGGCCAGTTGTCAACCGCGCTTGACAGATCTCCTCGCCCGAAACTGGATTTCTGCCACTGGGATCGAGGTTCCCTTGCCTTCATCCATTACTTTTACATACATGGAGCCTCCTCAACCAATTCATTTCCCTTCAACTTGATTCGGAAATGGGACAGGGAGCAGGACCACCCTTTCCGCAGGAACACAGATACACGCATATATGTCTAAGGTAGCTGGGAATACGAGGTGGGCTTTATGAGAAATTATATTGTACATTGTATATTGCGTACTCATACCTTGCTCTTTTAGCAAAACAACTCTTGCATTTGTCTTAAAAGCATATTATAGCTGGGAACTTTATATTCCCTAATTTAACCGCAAGCACCAACTTTTTGTAAGGTTTATCTATTAACAAGTTATTTTTTCAGTGCATCTCCAGGGGTTACAATGTTCTTTTATTTTCTCGAATGCAGCTTTTCCCAATTCCGCCAAGCTCTGTAATTTTTTAATCAAAACAAAAACAGCAACACGCAAAGGGGGGCCGCCCAACTGAAACCCATGGACGAGCTGGGCATTCCAATGCGGATGCCATTCTGCATCTGAATCCGAATCCGGATCCGAATCCGAGTTTGATGTAACGCCCATCGCGGCGCCGTGTCGATAATTTAGAAATTAAATGTAGTTCGCCCAACTGTGAGACGGGGAAAGGGAATTCGAGGGGAAAGAAATGCCGCAAACACA